TGGCATCTTGACATGTAGCAATAATCAACTTGCCTTGGTATTTGGATTTTAGAGTTGTACCGTCGACTAGAATTAGGGATCGCATAGTATTTCGAAATCCCTGAATGCATTGTCCAAGAGCCATAAAGAAGAATTTGAAGCAGTTCTCGACCTCCGCCTTAATAAAAAATATCGAGCCAGGATTAGTTTTCTCCATGTTATGGTAATTCCTGGCCAATTTAGCATAGTTTTCCTCTGTCGAACCCATTAAATCCTCTAACGCGCATTCTTTAGCCTTCTAGACCTTCTGGTAGCTCATGACTACTCCGTACTCTCGATGAATATCATTAATGATATCCGATGGTCTTTAGATTGTCCGTGGATCCTGATACTTGTACATTATCTGTCGACCAATAAACCAAGCTTAGGTTTGCCTGTGATCATTGCGACAAACTCCCACTTCACAAGTATGTTCTCGCGTATATTTGCGAATTACGAAGCAATCATTCATGTCCATCTTTGTCGCTCGCAAATGCCAACTGCAACTGTCATCTACGAATGATAGCGTCAACAACGACCTATTCGATTTTTCACTCTAAACTCGAAGTTGTATTTCAATGCAATTAGGTGCACGGCTTCTTGCAAATCTTTCTTCGTTTCAAACAATTGCTCGACATACAAATCCTTATTATCGGGAACCACAAGTGAGGAGTTAGAAGAAGGTCCACTCGATCTAGCCCCCGAGGTCCCACCCCACTCATGTCTCTACCGGGATAAAGCAATTAAGTCCTCGTTTGTAAAAGTATTTGTATTTTCATTCTCGTTGTCACGAGCTGCGGAGGGATTTTGTGTGCAATTATCTCTAGAATAACCACATCATCTTCACGAGCTATCTCCACTGTATCTCAAAAATCATTAGCATTGTGATCCCCACCTCTCGAGTCTACTTGTTCATCTTCGACGACATCCTTCCTTACTAAAGTTACGCAAAGAGAAGTCGTGTGCTTATTGTTCAATTCAATCAGATAATTCACTTCATCAACAGAAGAAATCATTATAGGTGGAATTGAAACTTATGCATGTTGGCTAAATTTAAATTTCAATTCCATATTGTATTGAGAATGATCAACACTCAACTTGTTCTGTAAATCATTATAGAGTTCTGCATACGATGTACCTGATGATATGGAAATTGCGATACCACCACGTTTAGCACTTGTCCATTTTCATAACCATTGATCTCTTTCGTCCAATTCGAAATCACCAAAGTAACAAACTGAGACTACAACCATATCTGCATGTCGAAACAGAATTTTTAATTACAAGAAAAATATCAACAGCAATAAAAATAACCTAAAAAATGGGAAAAAAAAGAAAACAGTTGACAAACAGCCAGCCAAACAGTCGATCAAAAGTTGTCAAACAGCCGACTGTTAAACAGCCCGTTTAACAGCTGGCCATACAACCTAATCACCGGCACGAGCCGGGATGTTCCGACAATGTATATGTAGATGCATTTTTTCTGGTCAAATGCTTAAAAAATTACAGATCTATTAAATTTTTTATCTACATTAGCAATAAATGTTGAAATACAATTTATCGATTTAAACATATAATAATTTAACGAAAATAAAATTAAATTTGCGTATGTAAACTTACTAAATCGACGAGATTGATGTCCACAAATTTTTCGACTTTCGATTTCGATAAATTTTTTAGTTTCTGCGATTGAAGCAGATAAAGGATGAGAGTGTTTTATTTATCCGTATAGGAGTAAATAGATAAGAAAAGTAGGAAGTATTTGATTTTTATTTGTTAAGTAAAATGGTATTGATGTCTTTTAAAAAAACAAATTTTTGTAATTGTATAATGTATTTAAGGTATTTTTGTTTTTTAACATTAGATAGGTTATTTTCATAATATCTCTTTGTTGAGAAGTCAACGTGTAATTTAGATGATTTGACTGATTCAATTTTAAAAGTACCCCTTATGTTCCCATTAACCATTCTATTGAGTTACATTCTCGTAGGAAGCCAGTGATTGGATTTGAATGCTTGTGTTTGAGCTTGTCAATTAAAGGGGACAGATGGAGTTATTAGGATTTCAAGTGAGAGCTTGGTGTAGAATAGAGATAAGAAAAGTAGAGAGGCGACCCGAGCGGTTGTTGGCGGAGGAAGTACAGCTGTGAATGCAGGAAAAAGGTCAAATGTTAGCTTACGTGGCCGCGGGGCAGTGAACACCACCAAACATTTGTGGGCTGGAGCTGATGCTGCAATGGTTTCAAGGTCTGCCCATTTTATTGCAGTTTTTCTTTTATTTTTCATTTGGTTAAGTATTGGTTTGAGTGTTTAAGTTTAACTTTGCTTATTTATTGTTTGGTTACATCTTATTTTGCTGAATGGTGTAATCTATTCTCTTGAGATCTATAATAACTTGTGTTGACCTCGCAAATTGGACCCTCCACGTGGCCAACCGATAGGCACTCCACTTATTCTTCCCTGCGCACAGTCAACGCACGATCAGATGCATACGGCCGGAACCAGCAGAGGTGGTGGCATCCGCATACACTCCGATGATCAAGTTAGCCTCAGGTGATCGGAACAATATCAAGGTTGTGCAAAATAGTGGGGAGGAGAATATATATTTGCTTGTTATAGAAAGCTATGTTGTAAGAGTTTCATTACCTTTGCCTCTTGTCAAACTTTGAGTATTTATAGGTGAGGAGAACCGTTAGATGTGGGACAAGTATATGTATCTGACGATGTGAGGCGTTTGCTCATAGGCGTCAATCAGCCGCGTCTAGAGAGTGGGCGGGTAATTATTTCTCCCGAGTTGAGTTGACATAAAGTTGAGACGTCACATCAACTAGGCTCATGGAGACGTCAAATCAATTAAACCTTGCGGTCAGAAAGAATCTTGACATAGATATCTTTCTAAAATTAGCGGCGGATCCTCTGATAGAGAACCTGGGGATGCACTGCGCCTCGGTTTCAGGGGCTAGGGCGCTTCAGTCGGTTCAGTAGATTGTCTGTGCCTCGCAGTGCGTTAGCAGGTCGACAACATTGGTGGCGACGTCACTTCGAAACCACTTCGGATGGGTGTTGAACACCTCGTATGACGTGGTAGTAAACTTTCCGAAATGGTTCAGATAGGGGTGTAACAACTTGAATATTAATGCGATGTAGCTTTTAATTAGTTTTATTTTCTTCCTCAAAATGCATAATGAATTCTGTACAATTCTAGTAGTAGCAACCCTTGTTATTATCATGTTGAACAACTGAAATAAAGCTTAAAGAAGAATAAATCATCCTATCACGCATTTTAAATGTTACTTTAAGATATAATTACTTTAAAAAGTGGCTTGCATTTTAAGATATAATTACTTCGGAAGCCAGTTGTGTCATTGCAGAAAGAGTGAGTTGTCGAGCTAATCCTTATAGAAGAGAAGATGCATTTTACTTAGATAAACTTGCCCATCTGCATAGATGCAGGGCTATTTCAAATGGAGGGATTTGACAGTGATATTTAAGCTTTCAAACAGAAGATAGTTTGTGGATCTTTTACGTCACTGAAATCCTGCTTTTTGCAGATTTTGAATAGGATTATCATCACTTGGTTTCGAACCCATGTATTTACTTTTACCTAATATCCTCCATTGGTTGGACTCAGATACTGAAAATCTAAATGTATCGCGTAGTTATTTCTTTCCTCGCATTTGGAACTTGATGTTAAAACCAGTACGAACTAAAGTTTAGATTTTAATTGAAAGCCAAGAAATTAGTTAAGAGAGGATATCATCTATGAAGATTCAAGAGGCCAATGGAGAAAAACTGTGAGAATCTGAATTTTACAGGATGACTCTGAATTTTTGGGAACCTTTTCCATTCTTTAATGAGTAGGGTGTGCTAGTTCCTTGAAGGCAACTCCTATGTCCACATTCAACAATGGAGATATCTTAAACCACTTGATCTAAAAGTTTAAGCGTTAGAGTGTGCCACGTATCATTCAAATTTTGCCTTCAACATGCCCCCTCACATGTAAGCGGGTTACATATTTTTCCCATCAAAGCTGCACAGTTTCATTGTGTGGGTGGCAGCGTGACTTGAATCTGTGCCTGCTCTAATACCATATTGAACCTAAAAGCTTAATTTGCTAGAGAGCTCTTAAGTTGTTAGAGTGGGTCACACGTATATCATCTAAATCTTGCCTTTGACTATATGGGTTATTAAAGATTTTACTTGCACATAAACAAGTTCATGACATCTGACAATTTATACATTTGTAATGTTACAGTTGGGTTCCCAACATCTTGTAGTAGAATTTCTTGTCTCGTTTGGTCGAATATGTTTGTAATCATATGGTTCTTTTTGCTTGCTGTTGTAACCTTTTTTTTTACTGAATCAACATCCTGATGAGATAAATTTGAAAATTATTGCTTTGATTACTTTAGAAGCATGTTTGAATTTATCAGAATCATTAATAGAAAAACTGAATTGTTGTTTGAAGTTATCAGAATTACAATAAGATGCATTTATAAACATTGGCGATGATCGATACTCCAATTCCAAGGGATCTCATTTGTTTGCTCTCTGTTGGTTTCACTGTCTTGCTGACTACTTAAACATCCTCTTGTTTTGGGTTGATGCTATGATTAGGTTTCTTGTAGGACGAACTTGTGACCTTTACAGGAGGTGTTCTTTATTGGCTTAAATAAAATAGATAATCTGCATCTAGATTTCTAGTGTTCTTATCTGTTTTCTAGTAGCCTCTTTCTGTTTACTTCTATGATGTGAAATGTAAAAAAGATTTCCTTAACTACTTAGCCCCTATTTGACAATCATTATTTGAAAACTCTTTTTTCTAGGTACTTATTTTCAACCACATGTAAATCCAAAACTTTTTCATACTTTTTAACTACGGATTTTCCTAAAATCATTATTCAAAACAATGTTTTTCCCAAATAATGGTTTTCAAACAGGGGTTTAATTTGAAAACATCTAATTTCTTTCCAAATATATTCTTGTCTTGAACTTAATTGTAGAATTGAATCTTAACCCATCCTTTAAATCTTTCTTGGCATTACACATTTCTCGCATAGCAATTTTAATCTTATTAATTAAAAATTACATGAAACGATATAGGTTCTCTTCTTTTCTATTATGCATCTGTTGCAGCTTATCACATCATTCGAACTACAGTTTCCAAATTCTTACTTGAAAAAAATATATGTTCTGTTCTTTCCTATTTTGCATCTATTGCATCTTATCACGTCATTGGAATTTTAGTTTAGCATTACGAATTTGGGTCTGGCTTTTAGTTGGCCACCGAGAAGCTAATTCAGCAATTGGAATGATGAACCTTCAGTTTTTTATTTATTTTTACTTATTTTTTCAAGTACTTCATCTATGTGTAATTTTCTTTAATCGGAACTTGCATTGCACCAGTTGATAGACTAAAGCTGGAATATATAGTCTGTGATGGAAAGAGGAATATACTTGAGCTCATCAAGAAAATAAAAGTACCTCAAGGCCTGAAAGGTTTTTGGAAGGTAAACTTTGTTAACATTCTACGCACAGCACCTTTTAAGGCAATCAATTTTTGCTCTTATGATACATAAAGAAAGAAGCTTCTCAAATTATCTGGGAATGAAGAAACCACGAATTTTGAGAGGTTTATTGCCGGTGCTGTGGCTGGCATTACGCTACAGTACTCTGCTTACCACTGGACAGTGAAAATTCGTACATTTTTTCCGATATTTTTTAACGTCTTTTGGCCATATCTTTCAGCAATTAAAATTCTGTGGCTTTTCTTGTATATAAAAAAACTTTGTTCTCTAGCTTTAACTATAAATTGAACTGACAGTTCCAGGATCACAATGATGTTGAAAATAAGCTCAACTTCTATGCATGTAATGTCGTTATTTTTTTCTAGTTTAAGTCAGAATTAGAAACTTGAAATTATTTGTGGGAATGGTTTTTAGCTGTTACAAAGTACAAGCAAGGAACTAATTCAAGAATTTCAGTTTCTAGCTTAAGTGATTGGACCTTTGATCATTTGGCATTTGAGGTTGTGAGGGAGCAGCTCCAAGCAAGGCCAAGCTACTAAAATGAGTGCGTTGACAACAGCTTGCAAGATCGTTGAACAAGGAGGTCTTCCTGCTCATTAAATGGGTCTTCTTCCCAGCTTACTACAGTTATAGTATATGTTATGTCATGTTTTATAAGGAGGAGATAATATTATGGAACAAAAAGAAGCTAAAATTTTATTCATTACATTGTCGAGTACCGTATACCAAACATGCATTATATGAAGTCTTCCTCTGGCTTCTGACTTTTAGTCTTTGATAGAATTTCTCAATTTCATGTTTATATTGATTAATATGCAATCAATTCTTTATGTTTCCCAATCATCTTGGTCTCAAATATGACGGTTTCATTACAATTTCGTGTGTTCCAATCATCTTGTGTTTTCGCCATTACGATTTCCTTCATCTCGTTCCTTGCTCATTATTCTTTAGGTGTTACCTTCGGCGTCAATAAATTACTTTATTTATGAGTTTATGAAGATTGTTCTTAATGAATCACGGCAATTTCTTAAGTTCATTGTAACAACCCCAAATCTAAATATATAGATTTGGAAGTATTATCATTTCATTTTCTCTTAAAATCATAAATGCGGAGCGATTATATTTTTCTTTAATATAATGAACATCACGACTTCATTTATAAACTTAACTTATAGAAAACTTTTGCACTTAAAATTAAAAATAAATTAACTTTTAAAAGAAACCGATATTCAAATGTAGGATTTTGCTACTTGTATATAATAAATGTACATAATGAATTACATAATATGATGTGGAAGAAAAAGATTTGATGAAAAATTTGATTGTATTTTAAACTGGCAAATAGTAGTGTCATGTTGTATTATGTAATTCATTATATAAATCTTGATGTACATATAGTAAGATCCTTTCATGTATTAGTATTGTTTGCACCATAAGCAATTGTCTCGAATCATCTTGCTTTTATCATCTAAAAATAGGAAAGGATAACGTGGGATGAACTAACGCTCAGTAAGCAAATCTCATGCATATTTTGCATGTTCATGATATGCTTAAGAATCATCTCAAAATCAAAAAGCATTTCTCAATATGTATATATATTTTCTTTCATTACTTTATAAACTTAACATTGACATCTTGTACCCAGTATCGCCGAGCCAATTAAAATGCAATGGGTAATTATTATTTGAAACTCGATCGAGTCCTACCGGTAGTACTGCAAAGCGATTAGCATTGACGTTATCATTGAACATTATTGTATTAATTACCACCTTCCTGTTACAACTAAATAGAAAATCAAAAGAATGAACAAATACAATCAGGAAATGAAATGACAATTTGTAGAATTTAATCTCTTTAAGAACAACTAAGTGAAGATGTACAGTTCTTAAATTCAATATACGAAAATTGGAATTTAAATGGAAGAAGAATAACATCATTAAAATATACAAATATTTATTTTCACACTAACATATACTTATATATAGGTACAGGAACATGTGGCTGTGGAATAATATGCCAGAGAATGGAATCCAAATTAAACTTGCATTCAATTCCCAAAAGATGGTGGCAAAGTAGTAATAAGAGTCAAATTCCAGAAAAAGAGAAAATGACTACGAATACGATGCGCTGATGATTGATGAATGTAATTGTGACCCTCTTTCTTTTCTTTTATAAGGTTTTTCTTCTGTTTTTGACAGTTATCCTATGTATCTATATAAGTATAATTATATTAATTGTCAAAATCCTCATCTTATGGTTAGTTGTTAATCAAATTAGACTAAATTTATTTTCCTACTATAGAATTTCTAGTATTTTCAAGGATAAGTTTAAGTAACTTCAAAAATAAGACAAGTTAAAAGCACAAAATAATATAAACATATTGTGTAATTTAATAAAGGCTTGCTAGAACTACTAACATATTAAATTTAAACCAATAGGCACGTCGATCGTCAATGGCGTTCAAGGCACATTCCACTGCCAAAAAAACAATAATAATAATAATTAATCGTGATCAAAATAATTATATTAATGAACCAGTAACTGTAACATAAATAAAATTAATATAGATAGACATGATAATCACCAAAAACAAGTATGTGGTGTTACATTCACAGTCAAGTAGCGGAAATTCCCCAGAAGCAGCAGAGGAATTAGATTCATTCACAAGTGGCAGTTGATATGCTCTACAGAATCAGCATCCTTCAGCTGTATTTGTTGTACAAATTTTCCTTTTTTTTTTTTTTTTTTTTTTTTTTGTTAAATTTTCGAATCTTGGATCATTTTCTATCATAAAAATGAAATCTTGATTTACTTTTCTTATTGCATTAATGCTCTACAGCAATTCCTCTTGTACAAAGAAATTGTTGCTAGAATTGCACCAGATGCTGGCAACGTCAGCATATCAGCATCTGGTGCCTCTTTTTGTTTTTTTCTCCTCTCTCTTTCTCTTTAATTGAGAGATTGTTGCCAAGTGTATCTGTATCAATTCTGATAGCCCATTTTCTGTACATATAGCAAAGTTGAATGCTCTAACGCTATTACATGTAATAAAATTTTTAAGAACGGAAATTACAATTTCTCATTTGTCTGGAAAGAGGACCATTTTCCAAGCATAATTTGATAAGTTACTGCGAGTACATGAACACCATTCACTGAGACATTCCTACAACGTATGGATATACTGTCATTCTGCTGAAGCATTCTTCTCTTAAGAGAGAAAAACAAAATTGTTTAGAATAATGCTTATTCATCTTAGCAACGTGTAAGACCATTTTACATAATATCATATATTATGTTCGATTAGATAAGTCCTAAATCTTTACATCTAATTGAACATTTGATTCAGTGTCATACGTTTGGCCATCTAAAATGGTATCAGAGTATTTCCAAAAAAATTTATTTATAAAGGAGATATTTATAATAATAGAGAAAAAATCAAGTTTAGAAAATTAAATATTTTATACACTTTAACAATGCTCTATATATTGATTCATTTTGCATTTTTCAAGAAATATTTATTGATTTCTCTTTATATAAGTATCATTAAATGAAATGTACAATTAAATAAATCATATAATTTCACATTTAATTAAATCTATCATGTAATGACACATGATACTTTAGCATCATTGATACTAAATGCCATTATTAATTCATATATGATTCGAATAATGTGCGAAATAGATTATCGAGAAATATGTAGCTTAATAATAGCTATTAATTAATTATTACTTATTAAAATTACATCGGCGTAAGGGATTCTTTTTAATGAAAATTACATCGGCGTAAGGGATTCTTTTTAATGAAAAGAGGGTAATAAATGAAAAAATTTGGATAAAACAAATAAAAAACGGTCATCAATCAACTGCTGAATTATACGTGGAACTCCGCCACTCACGTTTCGATAATCCCAAGGGTAGCTAAATTAGTTTTTGGCTGTGCCGCCGCCACCACAGCCACCACCGAAGATGACGGAGGATGACGGAGGATCAGTAGCCCGGGTGGATGAGCGCCCGTGTACGTGCTGCTTGAAAAAGGAGGACCACCAGTCGAACTGCTCGCAATGCCGGCGTCGATCGTTGAATTCGAGCTTGCCGTCTTCGTCGTCTTCGTGCTCTTTGCTGAGCTTTGAGTCATATCCTGTTCAGGATTATGATAAGCTGTGGAGAGTGTATACAGCGTCCGTCAAAGGCTTCTCCATCGGCGCAGGCCTCAAAGGTGGTCTCGCGCTCTTCTCTTTCCTCTCTCGCCTCCGCCGCAGACGATCTCTTCCCTCCTCCAAGTACGTGTTTATGAATCCGGTTTACATTTCTTTATTTTGTATTGTTTCGGATCTAAATCAATTCACGTTGGGGCATGTCTATGCACACATATTGCTTGCGTGTACTTGCTTTCGTTTTCCTGCAATTAATTTTAAACTAAAGGTTCAATTCTTGTTTCCGAAGCTATATTTTATACAATTTACTAATTAGCTTTGCTTTCGGGGAACAGTAAGGCTGCATTTGGCGCCATAAGCTTGAAGTCGTTGATTTGGAATCAGGATTATGAAAATTTTACAACATCAATTACCAAAACCCCATTTGATGCTGTAAATATGACAGAAGGGGATTTTTTTATTTTTTGATATACGGGATATTGCTACTGGATTAAGTTTTTACAAATGGAAGCAGCTATGTTACTGCGCTATTGTGCATCTGGACTTTTTATTAGCCTCGTTTGGATCGTGTTTATAAACATTTAAAAAACATTCAAGCCACTTACCCACGAGCACTACCTGCTTCTTCACCATTCATTTTTGTCTATTTATAATGCAAACCAGTTATGAACACTTCCCAAACATTCTCTTAGTGCTCTCATATATATCACAATATTTGGCAATTTTACCTATGGTTAATTTATTTACTACTAATAATTTATGTCAATTTTCTTTTTCTTTTTGCTTAGGAAATTGGAAATGGCATCAACTAGTGAAGATGTGATTTTGGCATTGAAGGAGACCTTGAGATACGGACTATTCCTTGGTGCATTTGCAGGGACATTTGTATCTGTGGATGAAATTATAGCTGCTTTGGGAGGTCACCGTAGGCATGATCTTTACCCCTCATTGGTTTTCTCTTTTCCCTTTTTATGTTTGCTCTATTTTTTTTTTTTTTTTATTTTGTGAATCAGCATTTGGGCAGATTTGCTCATTTTTGTTAGATTTTTCTTTTGTTACTTGTGTTAAATTTGTATATTCATTTCATAAATTGGCGTGGTGGCTGAAGTTTCCTTAAATTTTAGAACTGCCAAATGGAGGTCTTTGCTGGCCGGGGCCATAGCAGGACCATCTATGCTGCTTACTGGCTTGAATACCCAGCACACAAGCTTAGCGATTTACATTCTCATGCGTGCCACTGTATTGGCATCACGATGGGGGATAAAAAGCGAGAAATTTGGGAGAATTTGTAAGCCTCTTACGTGGGCACATGGAGATATTTTCCTTATGTGTCTCTCCTCTTCGCAGATTTTGTAAGTGACTTATTTCTCTGCTTAAAGTTTTAATGTTTTATTTCAATCTTCGAGAAGTTTCTTTTCTTTTCTTTATCACTGTGGAACCGGAACTGTATCTTGGCATGGTATAGTTGTGGTTACCTCTTTCCAGATAAGTACTTGAGGTCTACAGGATAAAACAGTTAGACCTATATCATAACTTTGTCTCAGGCGAAACACGATTAAGTTGCTTATCTGATGGAGTTGATTGAGGTTGTTTGTCAATGAAAAATGCTCTTTTTTGGAGTATAAAGTCCTTGAACTTATACTTCATAAAATATAAGAAACATCAAAACTGACTTGTGACTGACAGAAATTTATCCTGTGTTCCTTATACAGTCATGCAAAAAAGCTAAACCACATCTTTCATGGGTCTCACAACTTTTCAACCACACATTCCAAAATTTTTTATCACAATCTACTAAAAGATCTAATTTTAATCCCCACCAAACACCCTCATAATATAAAACATCCTTATGGAAACTGATGTCCAAGACTAGAATAAATTGTATTTCCAAAATTATGCAAATGACATAAATTACGGTTTCACTCCCCAAAATTCATTTCTTACTTCTTCATGCACCGTGCCAAGATTATTTCTTGAAACATTTGAAAAAGGGGGGTTGGTATGTAAAATTTGCACACCTGCTCAGGAAGCTCTTCCATTTATTTTCTGATGACATGCTCGTGAAGATTGAAATGATGAATATGCAGTAGAAACATAGAGATATCAAAGACGAAATTGCCCATGTGTTCTGACAGGATACCGCTTGAAAGAACAAGTTCAAATATTGAATGAGTGACTTTTTGATTAAAAAGACGGACAATTACAAAAATTGAAGAACAATTCTAAGCATTCAAGAGGCTTGGATCTCTCCCCCTAGCTCAACAACTAATTCTTAGCATGAATATCCCCAATCCCTCCCCATTACATTTATAGGCAACTTATCACATCATTATTTTCCAAAATACCCCTGCCCATACCTGAATCTATTTTAACTGAATAAGCTTCTCAATTCTTCTAGGTCCTTCCACGTTGATAGGAGTCTATCATTACTCGCCCCTCGAAATCCACCTTGTTCTCAAGGTGGGAGTGTGGTTTAACTTCAAAATTCGAAATTCCATATAACCAATCCGTTTTTGGAGTTAGCTTGTTGTACTTGTTAGCTCGTGTAGCTAGTCGTCCACCTACCATTAAAATGTTATTCATACAAATTCCATAACCAGTGGCATCCCTTTGCGGGCTTTTAAAAAATGGAACCCACGTAATAGAAACCTCATAGAAACCTCATAGCCCGTAGTTTCTGTGGTATGCGGCCCTAATTGATCAACCACCCTGTTAAATTGAAGTGATGTATAGCTTCGCAATCTATCAAAACTATTACCGATTGCTCCAAAATCGAGCCCCTAATTTTCATGGTTTTTGGTTAGGTGAGACCCGCAACAGAGTTGAGTGATATCTCGACCAGCTCCCCTAGTTTGTGCTCTTCTTCCTCTTGTGACCCATCTAATTGATCATCCCTGTCACCTTCCTGAACCAATAATACCTGTAGCTTTTCATTCCGGCATATGTGACCCAGATTGTCCTCCTTATAACAATTACACACCCTCTTATCCTTTTGCATCTGTGACTCTACCTTTGTCAGCTTTTTGAAGGGTGTTGTACCTTGGGTCACCGTCATCGGACAGATTACATAGATCGTTGCTGCCTTTTGAAAGATTAGGTGGGTTTGAGGAGGATTCTGGAGATATGGGTTGGATGTGTGGATTGAACTGTATGCCTTAATTTTATCCATAGTTGGGCTGTAATTTGCTTGGTCTGTAAGTTTATTTGCTTGAGCATGCTTCATTAATTCATCTATACTTCTTCCCCCTTGGGCCAAATCCATAATACAACCCAAATCATGAGGTTGCAGCCTTCTATCATCAGCCTGTGGAATGGGTTTAAACCCATTAACAAAATTGCTTCGTTGAAACTCCTCTGGCGACGTCGAAAAGGGGGTGACTAGATTTTTGAACAACTTCTAGTAACCCCTGTGATTCCTGCAATCTTAGCTTCGATTTCCCTAGAATTGGTTGGAGTTCTAGAATATAACGCGTCTTCAGATGAGTTTGCTTCCTATCCTTTCTCCTTCCATTCCCGTCCCTGTCCTTCCCGCTCCGGCACCATCATCTCGCTTTTCTCCATTAGAATTTCCAAATCCCATCGGTACTTGCCAAAAAATTCGTCCTCCTGGGATGGTCGGAATTCATCTGTCTTCAAAAATCGTCGGCTCTGGTAAGTTCTCTGCGATCTCTTTTTCTTTTCCCTCCCTTTCCGACTCAACCATGGATTTCTTCTCCTAGCTCGGCCAATTCACAGTGACCCGTCTCACCTCTACCCTCTTCTCCTCCTCCAGCAATGGCGATGTAACCTCATCCAATTGTCCACGTTCAGCAATCGTTATCTCCTCGTGTACCATACTCCCGTGCTTTCCTGCTGGCAATTCTTCATCACTTGAAAGCTCATTCATGCTAAATCGAGCCAACATCAGTCCCTTCAATTCATCCCATGTTCGCACCGATCGTTGTTGATCTACCTCCTGAAACCATTTCCATGATTCCCAGTCGAAACAGGATGTTGCCACTTATATTTTCTCTGCCTCCATTAATTGGTTTCTGGAGAAAATATCCTCCGCCCTAGAGATCCACCACTCGGCATTATCACAGTAGAATATGGAGATTATGAGTCGCCCTTGTGAATCCAAACCTAACTCCTCTTCTTGGTCTCTCTCTTCTAGTTGCCTTGTCATCTTTTCCAATCGATTCAATTTCGAGCCCCAACTCTCTTCCATTTCCTTGCTGAAATTTATTGTCATTGCCCTAAGATCGTTGCTCTGATATCAATTGATAGGATACTGCTTGAAAGAACAAGTTCAAATATTGAATGGGTGACTTTTTGATTAAAAAGACAGACGATTACAGAAATTGAAGAACAATTCTAAGCTTTCGAGAGGCTTAGATCTTTCCCCCTAGCTCAACAACTAATTCTCAGCATGAATATCCCCAATCCTTCCCAATTACATTTATAGGCAACTTATCACATCATTATTCCCAAAAATACCCCTACCCCTACCTGAATCTATTTTAACTGAATAAGCTTCTCAATTCTTCTAGGTCCTTCCACGTTGATAGGAGTCTATCATGTTCATCTCCTGTGGTGATTAGATTTGTATCTGTGGAAAGACTTACACCCAGTTTTTCAGATAAAGTAGTTCTCAAGTGTAATAAGGCTGCGGTGTTATATAATATATAACCGTTTCTAACTTAAAATTTTGAAGTGAAGGGCGAAATATTTTGTACATTAAGTCGTAGTGTGTATTCCAATAACAATAAATTGACACGCACAAGTAAATCAAGCCTACAGTTTGCTGCAAAAGCTTGGTATGATAACAATTGCAAGGTGGTGGGGGGATATAATCAATGTGCTGGAAATGGATGTTTAATTAGCAACTAGTAGACCAGAAGGCCTGCTTGATCACTGCTGTGAACTATCGGAAGGGTGCAATATATTGACTTTTCATCTCCGCTTATGACTTACGTCTCAAAAGCATTTTTTTTGGTTACTTCTAATAAATGTCTAAACAAGAGTGTAACCAGCTCAAAATTCTGCACTTGATATTTTTAGGAGACCCATTACGGGTTTTTTTCATGTATATATCCTCCCATAAAGATAGTCTGATTTCTTACTGAAGTATCTTTCAGAGAAAAATATTGTGTTTTTCAGGTCTGCTTACATATTGAAGCAAGGTAGTCTGCCTCCATCTTATAAGTCATTTCTTAATAAACATGGAGCAAAGGATTCTGTCATCCTGCAAGGTGTGCGAGAGATTGCATGTGGCATGCCTTTCAAAAATTTGGGGGCAATAGAGAAATATTACAAGTCCATTGGTGTTGATGTTAAGCTAGATCCAGAAATGAAAATCCCTTGCTCGGTATGTAGAGCACCAAATAATATTTTTCTTAAATAAAATATAAAATTTTTGTATTGACATCTGATCAATTTCTTTATAATCTATGATTATTAGTTTCTTATTAATTTGCAGAACTTAGTGTTTCAGATGAGTAAAAATTTGGAGGTGTTATGGACAATAGTCAATTGGCCTGAACATAATCTGATTCTCTTCCCATTTGCTCAAGTAAATCTTACATTGTGTTGTTGGATTAACAGTTTTCTGGCCAGATTTTGAATAATTTTTGACACTTGAAAGTTGGTTCTTTATGATGACTATGCACATTGTCTGCAAATTTCTCAATATTGCTCCCTCCATCCCAATGATACTTCCTTTTGGATGTTCCAAAACACAAGCCTTGCTCCAAAAAGTTAAAAGGCATTGCTTTTGCAATGTATGCATTATACTTGTATCAATTACTAGAAGTGACACAATGTCGAGGGTCCAGTTTCCATGTCCCTCATATCACCATCCTAATCCCTCTTATTAAAGATTTTTAGTTGCGCCCTACAGAACAAGTCCCACACACCAAAATTCAAATTTAAAGTCGGTGATTGATTGTGAGAGCTTGGTATCTGATTGCTTGGATTTATTATAAATTGGATTAAAGTTTCAAGAATTTTGCTTTATATCTTGCATATTCTGAGGAGATATTTTAGCTTTGAATACCGGCGATATTTGATTAGATTATGTATGGTATTTGAGAGAGAAAAGGAATTTGCAGCTTGGTGATTAGAAATGTATGGTAGAATGGAAAATAATTAAATGCAGATTCAGGAAAAGGAATAAAAGAATAGCGTGTTTTTCTTTTTATAAAAATGTGGATTTCCAAAAAAAGTGTATAATCATAGGATAAATTGAGTCATAATCCTGTCTTTTTGTTTCTGCATGTGAGATTGTAATCCAATCGAGATTGATTCGTTTTTGCATGTTTCCGTGCTGAATAGCAGCTTCCAAAGGTTGCTGATAGTCAAGCATCATATTTAGTGCTTTCTATATTTTTGCAGATTATACATGGGAATCAATCATGTGGGACACATTTTCTTTTGTTTCTTCTTCAAGCATATAAAAGAGCGTTACCAGTTTATCTTCCTGTCTATCTAATTCCTGCACTGATAGTACATCGCCAAGGTCTCCTGAAAAGGTAATTTATATTGTTGTCATCTTCTGATACATCGAATGTTTTCTTCTTTTCTGTTACTTCTGGATATGTGGTAGTAACTTATACCTAATAAGTTGTGAAGATACAGTCCACAAGGGGTAAACGTTTATTCTGAATGGCTATTCATTGTAGGTTTGAAGCATATGAAATTCTACATTCTTTCATTTTTCCAGTTATAATCAACTAGGTAAACTGTAGAGGCTCTTTGGTAGTGACTTACAATCCTCAGGTTTTACTTAACTCTCAGAATATGATGCTTTAGTGGGTACTCTGATTACTTAGAACGAGTCCATATAAGGTTGCACCACCTCCCAATTCATTAATGTCCTTAGCTTTCTAGAATTTCCAAAATTAAGAATGTTGACTAAAATTGTAGACTGCCAAAGAAACGATTGTCCTGGTGGTATCATTAATGTTATACAAGTCTCACTAGCTTCAAAGTATCCATAACATTTGTAGCCGATTGTGTACTTAGTGAAGTTGATAAATTGAGTGTTATAAAGGAGCCGAGGGATGTAATGGTTTGACTTGTTAGTTTCAAAATTCTTTGCCTTTTCAATATTACATATATCTTTTAGACAATCATGTATATAACCCAATTGCTCTTCTAAAAAGTACCTTGTGTGAAACAAGAAGTTAAAATAAAATAATAGTTATTTGCAGAGGAAAATGGATATTCTTGCAGGAAGTGGCGCACCAAAAAAAGACACTTTAAGCTTCTAGGTTTCTTAAAGAGTGTAGATGAGGAAATGAAAATGATGCTTATATCTTGTATCTTTGATGATGAGTTGATTGTCCTTGTAAATATGGTTCCTCACTCATTTTACTTTCGACTCTTCTTCGTGGTGTATTGTACTTGACCTTGATTCAACAATTTCAGATACACATTAACTGGTGTAAATTTTTACATCTTCAACCTCGGGTTAACGGTGCATGGCTAAAGTTCTTTTAATTTCTTGAAGATAGCTAAAATAGAATTTCATGATGAATGAATCTGACACAAGACCCAAACAATGGATAAAGTTGGAATATTGATGTGCTAATTCATTGTCTTGCCCATTACCATTATGCTCAAACAGATAACTAGAATTATGTTAAAATCCTGTTGTGTGAAACTAAATTACTGTCTTATAAAATTCATATGTATGGTGCAAATGCCAAGCAATTCCTAGTCATGTGAGGATATGATCAATTGCAGATCTATATAAATGAAACCTTACCCTTTCAGTTGATTACTTCAAGTTTTAGTTGTTTACAAAAGCAATTGACCCTTTTTCTCTAATCCCACTATAATCTATTTCTGCTTCATTTATTCTGAAGTTTCCTTTTCTGGGGTAAGTGGATTATTTTGCTGATGCACGCTAATCTACTTCGTAAATTGACTTGGTAATTGTTAACACATGTTCTTGGTTTGTTAGTATATTGACTTGGAAATTGTTAACACAGTTTCATGTCTTGTTACAAGTCACTTCTTAAATTTATACCCTCGCAATCTTATAAAACCATTTTTAATTGCATAGGCACTCATCTAACTGTTCTTGATACTGTTGTTTCTGCAATACTGTCTTTTATATCTCTTTTCAACCCTATTCAGGCCTCACACAATCTTATGGAAAGGTCTTTTTGGTACTGCAAGATCGAGCTTGTTTCTCTCGATGTATTGTTCATCTGCATGGTAAGCAACTGATTATACAGATTGTGCAACATGTACCATTGGACTAAGATTGGAGAATGTTCTGATCATTATTTCTCTTCTACCATGGAGCGTATTAGCCCATACTCTTAAGCTAAATCCAAGCTTGGGAACTCGAAAAACCTATGCTAGTTTGGAACTATTTTTAAAGGTTACTTGCACTTTCACCTGGGTATTCCTATGTACATACATATGAATGAATGTTAAATTGGCTTCCATACATCTCATGGTATGTCATCATGATTCCCATGTAAAAGAACACATAAAAATAGATTTTATGATTCAAAAGAAGAGAGAGAGTGGTTATTGGTAAAACTAATATCTAATAGTAATAAAACAAAAAATCTTTTTATTTTCATTTGGGAAATTAGGCTATAGGAACCACATTACTACCATTGTACTTGTGATTACTATTACTGTTTTTGCACGAGATTGTTGATTTATTTTTATTTATTTTTCCTTAGGATATGGACATGCTTCCTGTTTAGGATTTTCAAGAAATGCAACATTCCTATGGTGGCAATGGGAACGGTAAAAGGAGTAGCTCTTTTTATTTTTCATTAATAACTATCAAATAGATTCTGCACAAACACGTCTCTGTGAGTTTTTGCATGCACACACACGTTTTTTTTTTTACACGTGCAACTGTGCTCTTGAACAGTTTCCAACTGGCCTAGCCCTGGCCATTGAGAAGAAGAGTAGAAGGATAGAGATATCATTATACTGCCTTGCTCGAGCTATTGAAAGCTTCTTCACATGCATGGCTGATGTAGGATACTTACCTCAGTCGAAAAACTTGAAGAGAGCTGATGTTGTCGTCTTTAGCATTTCAACTGCAATTATTATGCACTGTTATGCTATAGAGAGGGATGTCTTTCGATCAAAATACTTGAATGTTCTTGATTGGGTTTTCGGCGTGCCTCTTCCCCCATATGAAACGACCCCACGTAAGAAGACATAATACTATTGCATTGTTTTGAGGTTCGAAGGGGACCCAGGAATTTAGTCGTTAATTTCCCCCAAGTAATGAGGTGGAATAATCTCCAAGTCGATATTGCAAGAAGCCGAAGAACTTGTGCATTTGGCTATGGTAGAAATGCTTCACCATTTTGTTCCCACATACTTGGACAAGCTTTACATAGAGCAAAAGAAAAGAGTAGGGGCATATACCTAATTCTCTCTTGTGGGAGGTTGATTTTGAGAAGATAGCAAACAGATTTTTTTTCTTTTTAATTTATTTTTTTATTATAGACACATAAAACCGTGATTTTTTATTTGCTTTTTAAGTGGTGGCCAAATGACAATAGCTCATTCATACTTTGTATTGCTATAATTTTGGGAAAATCATTACAGATGTTTAACTCACGAGTTCTACAGAACACAGATGAACATTTGATGACATTGGATTCTTCAATGTTTTATACAAACAATATTGCAAGGGTAAATTTAGATTTGTCACATGGTTTATGGCCGAACATTCATGAACTCCAACGAGAGTAAATAAGAGAGAGATCATGAGCCAACTAACTATTACACACATAGCATCATTGTGAAGAATATGACAAGATCAGGTGTTTCTCTTGCTCTTTAAATTTTATTTATCTTGAACAGTAATACTATTTATAGTCAACAATTGTAGTAATTATCTACATGTTATTGAGGCATTAGTTTATTATTTGAGACAACAAAAATTATAGAAAATTAATGTATCAAATAACAAGTTGCCACATAAAATGTCACCATGTAGGGCGATTACTATAATTATCGACTACAAATAGCATTATTCTATCTTAAATTGTGTGTTCTCTCTTTACTTTCGGAGTAAATACTCATGGTTTGATTTAGGGTAAAAAAACAGTACAATAAAATGCAATAGTCTTTTCTCAATAGAACCAAATTCCTTCACTCGTCCCCTGGTGGGGCAGACCCCTAAACATCAACTCTAAGACATAGCTTCCACGAAGAAGAGAAATTCAAACCTCATCTTCATGAAGCAACATATTTGGAATCCCCTTGTTAACAGGAAATTTACGACCAGTCTCAGGACAAACTAACGCGCCCTCCTCAAGATGAAGCTCAACGAGGGCGTGATGGAACTTGCCCAGGAACTCATCGGAGTCGAGCATGGAGGATTCAGCATTCTCGGGTAGCTCAGTGTAGCCCATTGTTCTGGATGCCTCAACCAAGGCCTTCCATTCAATCTTAGGAAACATGTTCCTGAGGAAGTCTTCATTGAAATCTACCTGCTTCTCCACTACTTTCTCAACCTCAATCAGCAGAGGGAAGCCATTTGTCACACCTTTGATGTTTGATGATAACATATTGTGGGTTAAAAGCCTCATTGTTGGTTTTCTTCTGAAATTTGTCAAATATAACCACCTTGGAGATACCTTTATATGGGTTGTAGTCCTGTAGAGATCAAATCGAAGCGGTAGTAGTTTCGGTGATGTAAAAGACAAGTCCAATTTACTTTACTTTTCCATTCAAAAGTAAACATCTATTCTAGCAACACTGCAAAAGGAAATTAACTTCAATATATAAGAGCAGCAGATTATTGCTCGTGTCAAACTGGAAGAAAATAGCAAACAAACCACCCACATGAAGGTGGGGAATCAATCACTAGTCCTCTTACTCAGAAACTTTATTTTGTTCTTGAACAGGATATTAGATGAGAATTTTTCAAGTGTTGGTAGAGATATCGTGATCCCAATGCTAAGCCAAAAAGCTTAGTCTGAAACTCTCTTGTTCAACTATACATGAGAGATCCAAACTGAAGCAAAACTTCGTAGAAAGTATCAAGTTAAAACAATGAATTCAACCAAAAGGCAATACATCTCGAAGCAATACCCAAATGAGATGGAAAACACAGCCTAGAGAATGTTTTTGCAACTTCACCTGCATATATTCTTACTGTAACACCTTGTGTTGATTGTATCATACAATTATCAGTACATAACCCCAAAATCTATTAGCTTATCCTACAGATTGGATTTCAGATGGAGGAAATCCAAACATATAATCCAGATATAGAGTATATTTGTAGCTCATGATTCACGTTTTCAATAGAGTAATTTTGTCAAGAAATCCAACTTAATGTATAGAGTCTACACATAACAATCCGGTGAATCAATTAATAAGAGAATTGCACATTCCTTGATGGCCACAAACAAAAATAGACAATTTCAGGAACAAATATAATTCCATATTTTCCGATCTTAGAAAGTATTTTATCGGGAAACAAGAAAACACGTTATACAACTAGAAGATGCTTCTGATTAATTTCAAACTTAAGGTATACGACAACTAAGGACTGCACTACAGCAGTCTAATTCTTCCTCAATTTTCTTCCAAATTCCTCGATTTTACTGATACTGAACAGCAAAAAACCTACCACCAACGATACCACTATTTGGAAGCTTCGAGCTTTTCTTAATTTCTTCCACTAAACTCAACGGATGTAAATATGTAACCATAAAACGGGGTTATTTGATTATGTACTAAAACAAGTTCAAAATTTCAACAATGATGTGTGTGAGCGTGAAAGAGAGATTACCTGAAGGTGGTCCGGCGAGGCTCAAGGCAGAGAGAGAGAGAGAGAGAGAAAGAGAGAGTACAAGGGCTTCTAGTATAATATCCTTGGGCTTTAGTTGTTGGGTTTGAGGAATACTTGGGCCAAGTTTTTTTATTTTCAAATGAATTTCATCTTTTATTTATTTTTGAAAAAAAATTACATTTCGAGGTGATTAAGTGTGCTCCATTTCAAAATTATCAAATTTCAAAATTAGATATTAATTAATTTTTGTTTATGAAATAGTTAATTAAAAATATATTTTATTAATTCAATATATTAATATCACAATTCTATATTATTTAGTCACGAATTATCAAATTAACTGCTAACAAATTATTTCTCGATCATGGATAAAAATTTTTAGAGATTGCAAATTATTTTACTATCACAAACTAAAAATTTTATAAGTCATAATTTATTCATCGGTTACAAATCAAAAAATTATCATCTGATTTTTGAAAAAATAAATCTTAAATCTTAGTTTTGAATTTGACGGTTGAAAACTAGGGTTGGGTGTAATTTCCAATTTGTTTTTCAGGAAAAATTTACAAATACATTAAAATATATATTAATTTCAAACTTTTCATTTTTTTAATATCGAAATAATGTTTACTTATTTTCTTAAATTTTATATTTAATGATAGTGTGTTTGTATAATACTATGTTAGGTACATTCACCACCCGTTTTCACCAGAGTCATCACCACTAAGTGTGTTAACACGTTGTCGCCTATTTCTACACTCACCTCAATTGCCGTTATCAACACAACTCGTAAATTTTTATGTCATGCGAAAATTTATAACATTCATTGTTACATTGTGTCATCACCATCACTTATAACATTCGTAGTCATACCACCAACACCATTGTCATCGTCTCTACCACTTGTAGCATTCATTATTATAGATTGTCATCATTGCTCTCATCACTTACAAAATCGCATCCCAATCAAACCTCCACACCACAGCTACCACCATATCTGAACCACATCTAAATGTCGCCATTATCACCGTACCCAATAAACTTGGTCATTGACGCCATTAGCATTCTCGTCATAACTACTACAACCAGGGGCGGACCCACATGGGGTCATGTGGGGTCCAATGACCCCACAAAATTTTGCCCCTATTTTTTTTTTTTACAATCTACTTTGATGCATTCGTCGGGGTGCCAAATGAAGTCAAACTATTGCATTTTTAATATCATTTCGAAGTGCTCATGACCTAATTTTTCACTTATTATGGCATGCGAAGTGATCAACTATAGCAAAAGTTATGACATGTTAAAGTAGGACGTTTGAAACTAGTATTTTGAGAATTTTGATAATATCCTAACTTCAAAAATTCATGTGCGATCATATGCTATCTGAATTCACAAATCGTCTATGCCGTATAAAAGTTTGTTTCGAAAACTACATCGTTTTCATATCGAATGGTCCAAACAGATATCAAAAATAGTTAAATATGTATCAAACGTAAGCCTCAAAAAATATGTCTGACTCATTTTTTCTTTTAAAAAATTCAATTAATTATTATTTTTGCATGATAAATTTTTCATTATAATTTATATCGTTTCATTCAGAAGTCTAAATTCAATTAATTATTATTTTTGCACGATAAATTTTTCAATATAATTTATATCGTTTCATTCGGAAGTCTTACATGAAGTATGACGTGAATTTTTTAAGGTCGTTACGGATTAAATGCAATTTAAATTACTTTCAAATTATATTTGCTTTAAATTTGAATTTCATTTACTTCCTGAACTAAACTTGAATTTTATTTCAATTCATTTAATTTCTATATTCAATTTAATTTACTCAATATTAACTCATCATTTGCCAATAAAATGATAAACAAAATTATACAAGTAGCAAAATATATTTAATAATATTAATAATGATGTAATTATACGACGTTTTCAAAGTGTCAAAATACATATAAACTTATTTTCATTGATATTATGTTGTTTATTAAAAAAACTATTTTTAAAATTTTGACCCTACAATACTAAAGGTATGGGTCCGCCCCTGACTACAACCAATCAAATTTGCCTCTACAGCACTAGCACCCGACCATCTCCACCCTAGCCTCCCTCACCGCCACTACCACATAATGCTCCTTGCAAGATATGAGAAGCTATGAAGGGAAAGAATCTATAAATTTTTAAAAAGTAAATTGATTAATTTTAGTATTAAATTTAATTACATATTTATTTGATGGAAATTTAGAAGTCCTTTTTGTGGGAGGTACTTTTGAGATTAAGCAAGTCAAAATGTCATTTTTCTACTTTGACCAAAATTTTTTGCCAATCCTCAAATGGCCATTTGTTAAGTAAAAAACAAAAATATTCTTAAGTAGTTTATACAATTACAAAGATAGAATTTTGTTTAAAAAGACAAAAATACCCTTAAATTACAAATTGAAAAACCAAACACTTTTCACTTTGTATTTAATTATTTATTTCAAACACCTACTCAAATAAAAAATTAATATTTAATTTACTTTCTTGTTTAACTATTTCATTAATTAATTATCTTAATCGATTATGTATATTATTTATTTAATATTTAATTAATCTATTTAATTATTTATTTAATCACTTGTTTAAATAAAAATAATAATTTTTAATTTGATTTCTCATTTAAATATTTCATTAACTAATTATCTTAATTGATATATGTATATTTAATTAATTATTTAATTATATATTTTAAACACTTACTCAAATAAAAAATTTATATTTAATTTGGTTTCTCTTTTAAATATTTCATTAATTAATTATCTTAATTGGTCATTATTTAATTATTTATTTTAAACACTTACTCAAATATGAAAATTAATATTTAATTTGGTTTCTCGTTTAAATATTTCTTTATTAATTACCTTATTTGGTTATGTATATTGTTCATTTAATATTTAATTACTTTATTTAAATATGTACTTAATCACTTGTTTAAATAAAAATTAATATTTATTTTAATTTCTTATTTAAATATTTTTTAATTAGTTGTCTTAGTTAACTATGTATATTATTTATTTAATGTTTAATTATTTGTTTAATCACTTAATTAAATAAAAATTAATATTTAATTTAATTTCTTATTTAGATATTTTATTAATTAATTATCTTAATTGGTTATGTATATTATGCATTTAAAATTTAATTACTTTATTTAATTATTTATTTAATCACTTATTTAAATAAAATAATTAATATTTATTTTAATTCTTATTTAAATATTTCATTAATTAATTATCTTAATTAATTATGTATATTCTTTATTTAATATTTAATTACTTTGTTTAGTTATTTATTTAATCACTTAATTAAATAAAAATAATATTTAATTTAATTTCTTATTTAGATATTTCAGTAATTAATTATCTTAATTGGTTATGTATATTATTAGTGATTAATATTTAATTACTTTATTTTAGTTACTTATTTAAATAAAAACATTATAACATAATGTACAAATGACATAACATTATTAGAGATTTTAAAAACAATTTTTTCAATCCTCCACTCATGGAATTCCACATGTACATTATGAACATCCTTATGAATTAGTACATGTAGAATTATCTAATATTTAATTTGATTTCTCGTTTAATTTTTTTATTAATTACCTTAATTGGTTATGTATATTTAATTACTTTATTTAATTATTTATTTTAAACACTTACTCAAATAAAAAATTAATATTTAATTTAATTTCTTCTTTAAATATTTCATTAATTAATTATCTTAATTTGTTATGTATATTGTTTATTTAATATTTCATTATTTTATTTAATCACTTATTCGAATAGAAAATAAATATTTTATTTAATTTATTCTTTAAATATCTCATTAATTAATTATCTTGATTGGTTATGTATATTATTTATTTAATATTTAATTATAACATAAATCATACGGTGTATGAGAATATCTAACAGAGATGGGAGTTGAACTTTAGGCATGGTCACATTTTCAATACATCGACCATTATTCAAGAATGTCGAAACGATATTTTTTCTACCAAATGAAGTCGAGCGAGAAGTTCCCGATTATAGTATATTACTCTCTACCCAACGGATGTATAATATCTGTTTAAATCCTATGTCCTCTCTATTTATAGTATATTACTGATTTCCTCAATTTTCTTTATTTATAGTATGTTATATATGTAATTAAGAGTAATTAGTTATTTATCATACAATTTACATAAAATCTAAAGTATTACAAACGTTTTAAAAAAAATGCTTACATTTGAAATTATTACAATTATGGATCACAATGTATATAACATAATGTACAAATGACATAACATTATTAGAGATTTTAAAAACAAATTTTTCAATCCTCCACTCATGGAATTCCACATGTACATTATGAACATTCTTATGAATTAGTACATGTAGAATTATCTAATATTTAATTTGATTTCTCGTTTAATTTTTTTATTAATTACCTTAATTGGTTATGTATATTTAATTACTTTATTTAATTATTTATTTTAAACACTTACTCAAATAAAAAATTAATATTTAATTTAATTTCTTCTTTAAATATTTCATTAATTAATTATCTTAATTTGTTATGTATATTGTTTATTTAATATTTCATTATTTTAATCACTTATTCGAATAGAAAATAAATATTTTATTTAATTTATTCTTTAAATATCTCATTAATTAATTATCTTGATTGGTTATGTATATTATTTATTTAATATTTAATTATAACATAAATCATACGGTGTATGAGAATATCTAACAGAGATGGGAGTTGAACTTTAGGCATGGTCACATTTTCAATACATCGACCATTATTCAAGAATGTCGAAACGATATTTTTTCTACCAAATGAAGTCGAGCGAGAAGTTCCCGATTATAGTATATTACTCTCTACCCAACGGATGTATAATATCTGTTTAAATCCTATGTCCTCTCTATTTATAGTATATTACTGATTTCCTCAATTTTCTTTATTTATAGTATGTTATATATGTAATTAAGAGTAATTAGTTATTTATCATACAATTTACATAAAATCTAAAGTATTACAAACGTTTTAAAAAAAATGCTTACATTTGA